TTCTGGTGAAACCTCCTGATTTCAGATCTGGAGATCTCGTCACACGTTTGAGGTTCAGCTGAAAGCTGAGACACTAGATTTTTGTCAGTTTGAGGCTGATCAGTGATTCAACAGAACAGAACAGAACCTGCTGTAAACATGTAAATAACTTTTGTTATGTTTGGTAAAAGCAAATAAAGAAATTCACTTTTGTGTTTCTGAACATCTTCCACCAAAGAGTCCAAAATCTGGACGTTAACGCATCAAATAGTAAAAAGCCTGAATAATGAACCGAGCCTACAGTGCAGAACAGCGAGGCAGGAGGCAGAACCGGGTCTGAGCTCAGAGTCAAAGCACATTTTCCTGCACTGGACTCAGACACTGGAGGCAGTATTTAAAGTGTCGTCCTGCAGTACTGAGCGCTGACAGCAGCAGGACTCTGGACACTTTGGTCCGTCTGTCCGGACCACAATGGACTCACACACAACTGGACTCTCCAGGTTGAGGAACCTGTTCAGAACCAGCAGCAGGTCCATGGGCTCAGCGCTCAGCAAACTGCAGCAGAAGAAAGAAGCACAAAGATGCTGAAGCGAGACACGTCTAAGGACTGAAGTTGATCAGAGGCTGAACGAACCAGATCCACGTTCAGCTGAAGCAAACTTGAGCCTCGTGCTGCGCTAATTAAACCACGGATCAATTAGCAGCCGGCAGCTGTCAATCAGAGCTCCTCAGAGAGCGAGCCGCATCACAAGCAGAGAGAGAGACTTACTTCATTCAGAGAGCAGCCGTCGTCCTTTCATTCCTCCCAAACAGACGAAGCTGAAAGACGCTGAACGCCGGGCGAGCGAGAGAGAGAGAGAGGGAGGGAGGGAGAGAGAGAGAGAGGGAGAGAGAGAGAGGAGGGAGGAGGGAGGAGGAGGGCGAGCGAGCAGCTGTAATCTATTATTGTGGAGCACATTGTTCTGAGACGAGGGCGAGAGACACCCACTAACAGCAGGGAGAGAGAGAGGGAAGCCCAGTGGGAATGGAGGGGGCGGGGCTTACAGGCCACTGCTGTGGGCGGGGCCAGGGGCGGGGCCACACTCATTAATAATTAATGAGCCGTTTGAGGCGTGAAGAGAGAGAGAGAGGGAGCGGCCGAGCGAGGCAGTAAATCAGCGTGGAGCCGCCACACCCCTCTAACCAGCAGAACCCGTCTGGACCCGGAACACCGTCAACACCAATACCAGACAGAGTCCACTAGAACTGGTTCTGTAAAGTCCTGCTGCACATTCCAGCTTCATCCAAAAGGGTGTTTATCCTGACCAATCACAGGACTCCTCATCAACAGGAGACTCACCTGCTCCAGGTGAGGGAACAAGTCAACGTGTTATGTTAGGACTAGAGCAGAACCAGCACCGGCCCAGACTGTCAGGGTTAGGGTTCGCCTGGTCGACGCCTCAGGAACACGAAGGAGGAGCTTCTGTCCTCAAGTAGTCAGAACCATGAACTTTGGCCTGAGCCCAAGTTCTAATAGAATCTCACCTGTACCACAGAACACTGGACTGATGTTAACACACACACACACACACACACACACACACACACACACACACACACAGCTCACTGTTTACAGCATCGTGACCTGTTTCCTTTCTCATTGCGGAGCTGCCTTCAGAGCCGGCGCTCCACTGAACAGTCCAATGTCTTGAATCTTTATGGACGTCTGAGGTTCTGTCAGAGGTTCTACAGGGATGGTTCCTGTGGCCAGAACAAAGGTTCTGCAGGAGAATATGGTGGGTGACATCCTCCACTGGATCTCAGCGTTCGCGTGTTTTGAACTCAGACAGTGAAACGGACCTCAGGTCACCTTATAGATCTGTTCCTCCCTGACAGTCTGGGAGTCAGAACCTCCCTCCCGGATCAGTTGGACCTGCAGGATTAAAGGAACCTCTGCTGTTTCTGTCCATGTTTCTGAATATGATGAGATCTGAGAGTCGTAATTAGAGATCAGCCTCCAGATTTCTTGTCTTTGGGGAGCAGCGTTCTCCTCCACAGCTCCTCCGGTTCCGGTTCCTCTGAGGACGGCGCGCAGCCGACGGCTCGCTTTGATTCTCCTCCATCAGCTGCTGCTGTGGGCGGCTGATAATCCCACAGAGAGCCCAGTGCATGATGGGAAACAGCTGCTAGACCTGCGACTCTCAGGCTGCAGATCGGACAGGTGCAGCTGCTCTTCACCCACCGGTTCTGGTTCTGGTTCTGTTTGTCCCATCCAGCCGCAGAGCCGCCACATCTGATACACAGTGGAGCGATACTGATCAATACTGATCAATACTGATCAATACTGATCAGCTGTCAGTTTGTGACAGCAGCAGAGAAGTTCGGCTGTCTGTCGCCTGATTGGTTCACAGCTGACAGGTCACAGCAGGTGAGAATCGTAAAGTGTTCAGGTCGTCATGGCAACCACACGCTGTTTCATGTGATGTGAAGACAGCGTGAAGAGTGTGTGTTATCAGCTCCATCTTATCTGTGACACACACACTGTGTGTGTGTGTCACAGATACACACACTGTGTGTGTGTGTGTGTGACGACACACTCATGCATTCATTCATGTGTGTGTGTTGGAGCTCAGCTGGGAGTGTTTGTCCACCTCTCATCAGGAGCTCATGTAATATTAATCACACACACACCGAGGGTCACATGCACTGCTGCACACACACACACACACACACACACCATCAATCAAACACACAAAGAGCAGCACACAGCCTGCGGTCCGACCGTGTGTCTCTACTCAGGCTGACGCTGAGGTTACTGGTTCTGTTGAGACCCGGTGCATGTTCCGGGTCGGAGTCCAGGGAACAGATTGTGTGGCAGCAGGTGCATGATGGGATTTTTTTATTTCCGCATTAAGTCTGAGACAAACACTCGTTTAGAATCTGTCTCTCCAGGATTTACAGCCAACCAGACAAAGGAGACTGAAGTCATCAGCCAATCACAGGCTGCGTTCTTTATGAAGTGATCCTTAATGACCGTGTCCTCGCTGAGCCGTCACTTAATTCACAACCGTGTCCAGCAACCGCTCTGTTCAACCACAACAACAACAGAACCACAGCTTCTTCTTCGTTGGTCTTTAAACATAGAACAAGCTGCAGGAGTTAACGTGTCAGAACCGGCAGGCCGGTCCACAGAGCGGTCCGTAGAACAGCTTTAGATCCAGTCTAACATGTCTGACGTCTGAGTGTGGACTCAGTGGAACCTCTCGGTTCATGTGCTAGCTGCTGATGTTCATCACACGTCCTCCTCCGAGGTTCTGCTGCGTCCACACGTCATGTTTAGAGCGTCAACACACGTAAAGTCAGCGTGTTGGTGGTTCTGTTTGGGCCTCTGAGGTTCTGCTGTTCGCTGCTGCAGAGCATTTCTGTGACACAACCCAGAGCCAGACTACAAAACATTTATATTAGATTTAGTTATACTGTAAAAATAAATCAGCAATGTTGCTCATTTGACTTTTTTCTATTTTGAATTATACAAAGATACCAACAAACGTACACAAAGTGAATTCACATTTATGTTCTACAATAACTCTAAATTAGATTAGATTAGATATAACTTTATTGATCCCTTTGGTACCTCAGGGAAACTGACTAAACTCTAAACCTTTAGTCATCGTTTGTCCTTCAGCGTTTCCTTCTCATTCAGTAGATGATAAGTCACGCACACTGCTGTCAATATAAAACCACATGAAGTGTGAGATGGTTAACAGAAAGAGGCAGACTGTTAAAAACCTGGAGTCTGCTGTGGCCACCAGAACATCCACAACAAAACATGTAGGCTCATGCTGTTGTGTTTCAGACCTTCATCTGCTCCACATTCAGGGTGTGTTCAGGTACATGAAGCCTGAGCAGAAACAAAAGATGAAGGACGA